GCTCAACCTGTCCTAGTAATAGTAACCGGGTTCTAAAGGATGTCAATATCACTGACCTTTCTTTTAGGCATTGTCTCAGCATAATCAATCTTTTCTTGCGGTTGAGATATCCCAAAAGTCCAATCTCAATGAGTGTAGTATCGAGTATCAACCAATTTTCAGCTTTCCACCGAAATCGGTTATCTCATTACGTCCTAATGGCCAAGTTGTTCAATTAAGGTTCTAAAGTCAATTAGTGCTTCATGACGCTGCTCAGCGGCCCCATATTCTCCTCGATTCAACACAAGGGATACCGGTACCAACAAATATGTCACACTAATGTAGCCATTGTTTCAACCATATCGGTCTATGCCATACAGTTTCCACAATCTATTGCTACTTACCTAAAAAGGTGCCCCAGATCCGGGTAGAGGATCAAAACAAATCCAAACAAGGAACCATAATGTAAAGCAAACAAAAATCAAACAAAAGATAGTAAGTAAAGGTGATCTATCCCTAAGGTAACCCCACTTTTAAGTAAAGATCCCCAGCAGAGTCGCCAGTTCTGTAATACGGTGGGAGAACTGACTTGGGTGTTTTACGTTTTATTGAAATTATTGCAGATAGCAAGAGTCTCCACCGACTTTTCTTTTATCCAATAAGGAAAGGTTGAAAATAACAGGAAAGATCTTTCGAGATTATTTCTTGAGTTTGGGGGGGGGGGGGGGGTTAGGTTATGAAAAGGGAAGGTGTTAGCATCCTTTTCATCCGTAGTTATCTACGGGCTCTTAGTTGCTTGCTAGATCACTTGCTTTTGTTTGAAAGTGTGTTTGTGATGTGGGTTTTGTAAGTATTTTGAAAAGAAATGTCTTTGTAATGGTTCTCGTCTATATAAGAATGCGCACAAAGTGTTTTGTCTTTTGAAAATGTTTCAAAATGAAGTGTTGGTGTATAAAATGTTTTTGTTGTGGGTAAGCGAGCAACCAGGAGCAACCTACCTACTCAAAAGATATTAAATGTTTTTTTCCTCCTCCTTTAGATGTTGTTATCTCACTATTATTTTGTTAAGGAACCCCATAATTGGATGTGAAGGGACGGTCACATGACGTTTTGTGTAGTCATCGAAGGCAACCTATGGGATGTTTTAGCAATGTCGTTTATGGACTAGATCGTTTACTGAAGGCAACATTGAGGGTCATCGTGGAACTACGATCTTTTATCGAGGGTCTTTGCTAAAACACCCATATTCGAGGGACATGACTATTTTCCGAAAGGCAACAAAGCGGGATTACCCTAAGGGTGCTAGTGTGCAAGTATGTTTGATTTACATGCATTTTAGTCTTGATTAGGGTCATCTATTTGTTGATTTTATGTCTTTCTATACAAACCCTAATTACTAGCATTTATGTTTGAAAGTGATAAATTGAGGAAATGTAAAGTCCTACACTATTACATTATTTAGGGATGGGGGTACAAATTTACAAATGGGGAGTTGCAAGAATTTAAAATCCTAATTATCTATTACAACCATATTGAATTGTACAATACAAGAAAAGGAAAAAGGTTGGTTTTGAAAATGATTTTTTGTCTTAACAAATTAAAAGGAAAATAATTAGTTGAATAAAAGAAAATATTTGTATGTCTTGTTTTATATTAATAAAAATAGTTCTAATGCTAAAAATGATAAAAATAAAAGAGAAAAAGGAAAAATAATGAGGCATAGGATCAACATGTTGCTGAAAGCAAAATAAAGGGGATCAGAAGTTCTGATGCCAGGCGCGCTGTGGTTCAGAATGAAACGCCAGAGTAAATCAGAAGTTCTAGATTGATGCACTTTGAGGTCCTGAAAGAAACGTTAGAAGGAAAAACATAAGTTCTGGGTTGCTGCACGCTGAAGTTCTGAGTGTCAGAACAGTGAGAAAGTCCTAAAATTTTCGTGTGTGTTAAAACAGTAAGAAAGATCCTAGAAGTTTTGTATAATAAAACAGTGAAGAGAACTCAGAAGTTCTGTGTGTATTAAAACGGTAAGATAGGTCCTAGAAGTTCTGTGTGTGTTAAAACAATGGGAAAAATCAGAAGTTCTGATATCATGCCATAATAATGTAAGAACCTAGGAATTCTGATGTGTTAAAAAACAGTGGGGAGAATTCAGAAGTTCTGTGTTGTGCTAAAACAGCGGGAAAGAAAATCCAGAAATTCTGTGTTTCACTTCACCTTTTTCCTTACATTAGTCAGAACATCTGCAACTTACTCAGTCCTTAATAACAACAAATCAGAAAGATAAAAGCACGACAGTTTATAGAAGTTCTAGTCCTAATTCTGAGCCTAGCTTTATTCAAGAAGTTCTGATCCACAGTTTTTCTACTTATGCAATAATATGGACATCATCAACACTATGACATTTACATATTTAATGATGTTCTGAATGAAAAATTCAAAGTCAAAAAGACTTACCTTGAATCGGAAGCGTGTGTTTGAAACTTGAGCTGCTGTTTTTAGATGTTCTGGGGTTAGCAAGGAACGGAACATAATGTTATGTTCTTTGATTCAAAGGGAAGAACAAATGTTTGGTTTTGCTTGAGATTTCTGGGTTTACGAACGGTTTACTGTTTTCTTTTCTCTATTTGACAATTCTCTCTTTCCAAAAGCCACCCCCTTAAATGTGTGATGAAGCAACTTATTTATAGATGGGTTTGCTGTGGTTTTGGGGGAAAACAAATGGGATTTAAACCATTTTGGCATATTGTTCCATTGCTTTTTAAACACAGCTTTTGTATGCTAATTTGGTGCAAATATAGGGTTTGAGAAAGTGCAGGCGTGGACTGGATCAGCAGCTGATTGCAGGACTGTGCTGTAGCAGTGCAGCAGGCTGCTTAAATGAGGTTTTGGGATTTGGTGATATTCTGATCGCAGAAGATCATAATGAGACTCGAAGGGTGATCTTTTGACCGAAGCGTTGATCATAGTCTTCATATGCTGAAGAATCATGTTCTGGTTGAAGAACACAATTTCCATATGTTCTGATTGACGAGTCATGTTCTGAACCATGTTTGCAAATTTTGACAACACTTGTATGGAGGCTGGCCCAGAAGTTCTGAAGTACCATATTCTCTTAACACTTAGAAAATTTTCTAAATGTTTAGAAATTTGATTTTTCAAAGTAATTTCTGACTTTTGATTTCTTGAGGAACCAATTTCATGTCTTGGTAAAATATAATTATTGAAACTTGATTTTTGATCAAAAAGTCAAAGTTTGACTTTTCAGTGTGCTTTTGACCATTTTGCCCTTGTGAATGACATTCTTGAAAAATTGTAATTGAGACTTGAAACTTGCCAGAAGTATACCTGAGGGTCCAGGACAATCTTTTGAGAAATGAGAGGGCAAATTTTGGGGTACAACAATATGGATACCATGTTTCATGATTATCTTTTTCATATGGTTCCCTATGAGATACAGAGTACCCCAACTCTTAGGGACTGTAGTGTTGTACACGGCTACATCCGATGGTTCTTCAGGATGTCACATCCTTATATAGAACCTGAGGCCCCGGAAGATCCAGCTAGACCAGGTCATCAGAAGATACTAGAGGAGGAGCAGACTATGGCTGATCATGTTGTTGATGTGCTTCCTAGATATCAATGTATCATGAAGATTAGACATATGGGTATAGACAACTGACTATTTCTGGATGGCTATGCACTGAGGGATGTTATAGATGCTATGATATGTGAGGCACGAGAGACACTGTAGTACATGAGGCAACGTAGGAACAGGGACCGCGATCCATCATACGTAGTAGTTTATAGTTTTTGTATTATTTTGGCACTATTTTCTATTATATTATATTTTGTTCTATTGATTTGACTTTATTGCGTTATATGGATTTATTAATTTATTTATGCCATTTTGATATTATTCCGAAAGTGTGTGATTTAAATTATACAAAATAGTCATGTATCGTCAAATTCATCAGAGCATTTATAAATAAAATGCAGAAAATCACTATCTGGTATGATTACAAAGATGTATCTCCAGAATTTGTCTGGTGTGATCAGAGAGATGCATCTTCTGAACAATTCTGGTCATCATCAGACATTTTACAAGGAAAATGTAAATGGTGTATATTGAGTTATTACGAAGATGCATCTCTAGAGACAAATTTAAACAACATTGGGGGGCTACTCAATTTAAATGCATTTGAGAAATACACAAAGTGTGTTCAGAAATATATCTCCATAATTTTAGGATATTTTTCCCTTTTTTTTAAAGATATTTCTCCAACACTTAAAGATGAGGTTAGCAATATCCAAATTTTATTCTAGGTAAAAACAATAATATTATCCAATGGACATTTTTCTCCAAATGGTAAAAAGTGGTCTTCTATGGTGGATGGTATGAAGTGGTCTCCTACCTTAGAATTTGCTTAGAACCTGATCTCAATCTTAACGCAACTACCAATTATAGAAAGTAACATATTTTAACACTAAATCTAAGAACATATAAAACACATAAAAAAACATGCACGTTTTTTAATTGATGCTTGAGAAATAGTTCTGGAAATTGAAACAAGAACAAGATTTACAACAATTACATCAAAACAATTCTCCCTCAAATTCCAACACTTTTAGATATAGATTATCTCTTTCTACCATTTAAGGTATCGTTTCACTCTCTCATTTTCTCCTGTTTTTTTTCTCTTCTCTTACAAGATATATATAGTATTCCTTCTATTATAAATTAATTGTGTTTATGATTCACATCCTCTACCACAGTGCAACGATGAAACAAATATAAAACATATTCATGCATATGATAGCATCATTTTACATATAAATTTTTTGTAGCATTGTGGAAGAAGATCTTAGTTTGTGTATGTATGTATATGCATATGTGAGTTTTTTTTTTCTTTCTTTATTATCATTTTTAATCTTTTCTCTATATTTAATGTAAAGTATTTGAAATTTTCAAATGTTATTTTGTTCAGGTATAATATTGTGTTATAATCAAAAGTGGTGATAACATGGGAGATGAATGGTCAAGGTATGTGAAGTTGAGCAAAGATAAAGAACAAGCGCCATTTCGGGACATTACTCCGGGAGAGCTTAATCAACCCATTGATGTGCCACAAGTAATTTACTATTTTTTTAAATATATTTAAATGTTTCTTAATTTAAGCATTCTTTTGAGATTTAAGATCTGTTTGAAGTGATTAATAAATATGTTTCTTATCTATAAATGGATGAAATAGAAGAAAAGAAGTTAAGTTAAAAATAATTTAATTGGTATATATCGATAACGGAAAGAAATTTTACATTATCAATTAATTATAATTGTTAGATTTTAATGATTGTGATGTATTGATTGACTATGTAAAATTTTTTACAGTGTATAACAATTAATCTCAATTAAAAATTATTTAATTTTTTAATAGATATTTTTTATCCTCAATTGAAGAATGTAATTAGATCCTTTTAGAATTTTGGGGTGATTGGATCCAGTATATTTGATAGCCTTAAAGAGGGAAACAAGAATTCATGTATAAGGATCCAGCATGTTTAATAGTCTCAAAGGGCAACAAGGATTTCACTATAAGGATACATCATGTTTAATAGTCTAAAAGGACGACAATGATTCATATATAAAGATCCAACATATATAGTTGTCATGCGAGATAATTTTCGACAAAATATTTATCACTTCTTAGTTATCTGCAAGAAAATCATCAATAATTCAATTTCATATAATAAAGTGAGGGTATTAACAACAAATCCTTGTGCCACTTTGGCAACATAAAGAAAAGAGTGTTCCCACAAACAAAAGAATGTTATTAACTTATCCTTACAAGCGATAAAGATTATAACTCGCCTAAATAAGACAAACCACCAAATAAAATGAATTAAGTGAGGCTCAATGCCTTAATAGTTATTGTCATTTGATAAGAGATCATTTCCCTCAACCTCTATGTCTTCCTAGCCTGAAGTGGCTAGGCCCTTACCCGTGAAAGCTTCCTTCAATGGCTTTGCCTCCACCTTCACACCAATTATGCTCACAATCGGTGTTCTGATCTTCTTCAGCTTCATGCCCTCTACATAGCACGTGTTGGTGATCTTTTGGTCTTGTTGAATAACTCCAACTCGCCCATTTGGAAGCGAATACTTCATATATAAATACAAGGTATATGAGGTGTCTCCTAGGTGGTTAAAGGTGAGTCGTCCTATAATCATGTTATAAGAGGAAATCACGTCAATAACAAGGTAACTTACCTCAATTTATCTGGGGTTTTCTTTGTCTCCAAAGGTGGTCTTCAATTTTATATAACCTTTCACTTTCATAGACTCTCCCGAAAAACCCACCAATGATCCTTCGAAGGGTTTGAGTCTACCTAATTCAAGCGAAGTCTCTCAAACACATCCCAATGGAGGATATCCATAGAGCTTCTTTGAATAATCAAGACCATTTTAATCTCCTAATTGTCACATCTCACAGTAATAACCATGGGATCATCGTTATGGGGGTGATTGTCTGTTGCATCTTTCTAAGAAAAGGTGGTCTATGCTTCTAAGGCTTCTGGTTCGCCTGTATCAAAGTCAGTGGGAAAAACCTTAACGGTTAGCATTTTTCGGGTGTACCTCTTACATAAATATATGGTCTATCCTCCCCCGACGAATCCTCATGCGATGATATTGAGAGTATGGTAAACATATTTGTCGTCATCTCCCTTTGTCTTGTTCTTTTCCTTTAGTTCACGACTCCTCAAATAATCTCGCCCCTTAGAGTTAGATTCTCATAATACTCAAGTGAATCCGCCCTTGACATATTTTCTCAGGTGCCCTTCTTAGATCAGGCGCTTTATCTCCTTTTTGAGTTGGTAGCAATCCTCTGTATGGTGTCCTTTAACTTTGTGGAATTTTCACTAACTATTGAGATAAGGCCCTGTGATGTTTGGCTTTTGAGCTGAAAATTATTGAATTTTATGCACATGGAAGACATCTTACCCTATCTAATCCGGACATGTGTTCAGAGGCATGAAGCTCTTGACGACTTTTCTACTTCGTTTGAACATCGTTCTGTCTCTGGCGAGAGATATGTACTAACCCCTTCGTGAGCTCTCAACATCAGAGGTTCCTTATTTCACATATCAGAGCTTATTTTTAGTATTGCTTTCCTCTCCCTTGATGTAACATTCCACCCGCATCACTACTTCATCCAAGGACGTTGTTGGCCACGGGTCGAGGGATTCGTTGAAGTGTCCCACCCTGAGTCCATTCTAAAATGCTCTATGAACATTTCCTGGTTTGGATGGATTGCATTAATTGTTGCCTCAGTGAAGTGGTCAAGGTACTCCCTTAGAGTTTCAGACGAGCCTTAGAAAATGTTGAATAGACTAGTGGCGGCCATCTTTTTGTGCATGCTTGTAGCAAATTGGTGGACTAGTTTCTTCACCAAGTCTTGATAGCTTATGATGGAGATAAGAGGTAGGCCCATATACCACCTTAGAGTTTTCTTTTCTAAAGGTGTCAGATAGGAGCTTGCATTTCAAAGAGTCAAGGGCTCCAGTGATCTTTATTTGCATGTTGATGGATGCAACATGTTTGTATGGGTTGTCGTGTTCATCGAACTTAACCAATGAATGAGGCTTAAAGTTATCTGAAACGCGCGTCTACCATATCTCATCTGAGAAAGGTTAGGGATCTAACATCTCCACCTCGTCTGTAGTGTTTGTCTCTTGCTTGTGCTACTCGATATGGAGGATATTATCCTCCAAAGTTTGGTACCGGTGATGTTGATCGTCTATAGTAGTGCACATTTTTGCTATAGTGTTTTCTTACCTTCATATTCTTCGTTTGCTGGAGTTGTTATCTTTTTGTTCACCTGTACCCAAACCCATACCCGTATGAGCACTAATGTTTAAACATGTACCTATACCCTATAGTTATTTAATTGGTTAAATACTCTTTTTGTCTCGTATGTTAACCTCATGATTTATTTTGGTCCATTAACTTCAAAAAATTTCATATTGGTCCCTTACATCTTCAAAATGTACCATTTTAGTCCTTTTTGTCATATTAACGACTGATTTAACGGCCAATTTTTGAGTTTTTCCGTCGCAAATTAGACGAAAAGGACCAACATGAACATTTTAAAGTTCAAAGACTGAAATAAACCCTGGAGCTAACACACGAGACCAAAAATGATATTAAGCTTATTTAATTACCCATACCCATAGCCATTCACTCGCATTTCTAATAAAAATAATATATTAATTATTATTTATCATATCATTTTAAGTTTTTAACAACATTAAAAAAATTCAAGGATGTTATTGTTGAGTTAAAAAATAAACAAACATTTATATTAAACCGCATTCAAGTTTAATAGTGATGTATTTAATAAAATTTATAAATTAACATGTATACATAATAATAAAAATAAAAAATATAATATATATTGTGCGAGTATGGAGCGAAATGGATACTAAGATACTCATACCCGCATCCATATCCACTTATTTTAGTGGGTAATTTCTTGTGCTGATACCCGTATCCGTTTTGTGGGTTTTCACATCATCCGTTATGGGTAATTTTTTACAGATACCCACTAGGGATGGGTCCAATTGTCATTCCTGCTTAGGCCTTTGAAACTAGAAACCATCACTGAGAGAATGCGGGAGTGGATAGTTTATCCACTATTATTTTAGAGAACAAGGTAAAATGACTCCTTCCGTACTATTACAAAATAAGGACGCATCATTTTCCCACTTTCCCAATTCAGGCAACTCCTTTCAAAGAAAGGGAACATATTCAATAAAGGGGAGACACATATAGTTAATAGACATTCGATCTAAGAAAATGGCGACTTTGAACCCATAATCAGACTCTGATACCACTTATAGGATCAATCACTTACCACTTGGTCAAAAATGTTATTAATCACGGCACACCTATATTTCCTTATAGTGAGTCTCAAGGGTCCTATCTTATCCACCTATCACACATGTGTAAGCATTTATGGGTGGAATGTTAAGCCCATCAAATCCTTCAGAATGACGCTTAATTAAATAATCTAACATGTTACGATTATATTTACATAACATCACATAGTTGATATTGTTTTTTCGCTTGATCTAATAGTTGTGAGGCTGTAACTACACAAAATTGGATAATTTCTTTCAAATCTCTCATGACTGATTATCATTATTTCTCTTATATTCTTTCCCTTCTTCATTTTATTATTATTTATAATTAATTTTCTCTCTCTCTTTTTATCATTAAGTGAAATATGTATCATTGATGATTGATATTATCTTTTTATAGTTAAATGCTCGTAGATGTCTTGAATGTGGACAAGTTTTACCTGAAGCTTACCAACCTCCAGCCGATGAAGATTGGACAACTGGAATATGTGGTTGTTTCGAAGATATTGATAGCTGTAAGATGTTTCCGATTTTTCCATCACGAAACCATGAACGTGTAGAATTTTTGTTTATTATGTATCCTTGAAATTGTGTTCTAGGTTGGATTGGAGTGTTCTGTCCATGTGTTTTATTTGGAAGAAACACTGAAGCACTGAAAGACGACATTCCTTGGACCAGTCCATGTGTTTGTCATGCAATGTGTGTAGAAGGTGGAATGGCACTTGCTGTAGCAATGGCATTTCTCAATGGAATTGATCCTGAGACATCATGTCTCATTGCTGAAGGCCTTTTTTTCACTTGGTGGATGTGTGGTATTTACACCGGTCTCTTTCGACAAGCTCTTCAAAAACAATATCATCTAAAGGTTATGTTTTATCTATTGATTATCCTATTGATTATCGAAAATATCCAGGTGTTTTGTCTCACTCAAATATTTGTATTTTTTTTTAATCAGGATTCACCATGCGATCCTTGTATGGTACATTGTTGTTTGCATTGGTGTGCTATATGCCAAGAGCATAGAGAGATGAGGAATCATCTTTCTCATAACACAAACAGTGATGGAACTATTATCAATCCACCTCCACTTCAAGAAATTACATCTGATTTCAATAAGGAGTCCACATCCTCAGCAAAATCTTATACAAATAATGATCAACAAAACAATTTGCAGATCCAGCCTATATAGTTGTATCCATTAGACGAAGACTCTCGCGATAGTAAATTAATTATAATCATTTTTTATTGAATTTTAATTATGTTTCAAAAAAATTTAAATAAATATGATTAATAAATTAATATTATATCAATTTATTATAAATTATAATTGAAAAAATTATTAGAATTAGTCATAGATAAAATGTACGTTTTACTTGTAAAGAAAATCATATGCTTGTAAATTTAAAGTGACAACAAGGATTTAATTTTGCATATATATATATATATAATTAAAAATTATCATTATTTATTTATTTTTCAATCTGATTCTCATGTATTTTTTAAATTTGTATTTGATTTAGATATTTAATTTTAAGTTATTTAAGATGTCTATTTACTTTTAGTCTTAAATTAAAAAAAAAATTAAAGTTTTTAGATGATTATTATCAAATAAATTTTTTAATACTTTTATTATATTTCATAGGGTTACTACTATAAAAATAAATATTGGGTACACTATAAATAATTTTAGGAAAACTCTATATTCTCATATTTGAAAAATTAGAAATATTGTTGTTTGTCTTTATTTTATTTGTTTGACATAATATGAAAAATAATATAAAAAATGCAGTTGTATACTCTATCATATTTTAATTTGAACTAAGAGTGATTTACATTTGAAATAGTGTAATCTTCTTTTATTTTATCTTATTTTATTTATTAAAAAATCATGCAACAAAAAGATAAGTAGTGTTTATAAAGTGTATAAAATAATATATATCAAAGTTATAAACAGTTGTTAGTTTAATATATAGTTGATATATTTTAACTTTGAATCCATGACCTCCAATAGATAATATATATGATTTATGTCCTTGTGAAAAATAAATAAGTATTTTGAGATGTGTTACATAGAATTAGAATTATGAGTCATGTGAATCAAAGTTAGTAAATATTAATTTAATATATTTTTGTTTTTGAGAGGGTTTGAACCAATGACTTTCAATAGATAATAATAAGAGTCTTCACAAAAACACATAAGTGAGTCGTTGAGAAAAAGGTTATATATGAATTCTCTAAACGGCGCAAAAACATCTAATACCATCAATAATGGCTCAGAATATTGTGAGCAATGAAGAAAAGAAATATGTAATGATTACACAATTTAAAGAATTTTACACGTAAATTTTTTTATAGATGTTGCATAGTAATTAATTTAATTGGTATGCATAAGTAGTTTTACTCTCGACACCGTTAAATATTTATTGAGATTTGATTTTTATTTTAATTATTTATAAAATAATATTTTTGAATGGTTATAATGTATCGACTGTATAGAGAATTTTACAATTCAGTACATAATAATTAATTTTAATAAAATTTAATTATTATGTATTGACAGTGTAAAACAATTTTATATTATCAATAAATCGTGACTGTTAAATATTTATTGAAAATTTATTTTTATTTTAATTATTTATAAAATAATATTTATGAGAAGTTATGATGCATTGAATATATAAAAAATTTTACACTCACAATACATAGTAATTAATCTCTTATTAATATATTATATTATTAATTTATTTATGTTTTTTGTTATAATTTTATTATAATTATAATAATAATAATAATAAAATAATAATAATAATGATAATAATAATAGAATAATACTATTTAATACGAAATAATTTGAAGAAAAAATAAAAGAATATAAATTTATTATTATTTTAAAAGTGAATTTTAAATTGATTTTAATTTTTTTTTAATATAAATCATGGGATGATGGTGATATTAAATGGTTAGAGTTGATTCTTATATTTTTTCTTTTTTTCTTTTTTTATTATTAAGTATTTTCCAATAAAATAAAAATAGCTGATAAGAAAGAAAAAAGGTAGTTTGTGATTAGATGGTGTAAGACAATGTTTGTTTTTTAAATTGAGATTAGCCATGAAATAAATTGGTAATAAAAAATATGGTAGTTAATCTTACATTTTCTTGTAATGTTTTTTTTTTTTTGTCGTTGTCTTTGTATTTTTCATAATTTTTTATCGCGTGGTACATTTTACTTTTAGGATAGGAAGATCTGTTCATATTATTTTAAGCCACAACTTTCAATTTGCTTTCACATACTTCTAGGACTAAAAAGATTCAATAATTTTTGCATTCATAAGAAATCTGATAGATTTTCTTAATTTTTTAACCATATTATTAATAAAGTCCTTTTAATTTTTCGAAGATTTGGAGTAGCTTAATCACCAAGAGATTTGGAGGAAAGATTGCCACTGAAAATGAGATGTTACTAAATTTTATGTATTATTGAATAAATGTAACTTTCTATTATAACTAATGTAACAATCTTAAAAATATCCTCGAAAGTATTTAAGGAGATATTTATCAAACATTGCTAAAAAATAGTATAATGATGGTCTAAAATCGTCCTCAAATGTAGTTAAGGGCACAATTAGCAATTGTTGCCAAAAAAATTAAAAGCGCGACGTTTCAAAAACGTTCCCAAAAATATTTTAGGCACCGATTATCAAAGGTTGTAAATATATTTCTGACAACATCCATAAATCGTTGTCTATACAAATTTTAGGCAATAATTTTTACATGTAACCAAAAAAAGTGTTGCCAGAGACAACAAATCTTGTAGTGACAAGAATAACAAATAACCCTCTCACTCTAAATTAGGATTTGCTATATACAATGATGAGAGACTAGCATGCTATTTATAATAAACCTAACATACTAAACTAATTGGCTTTTTTCACAAATATCCATTACAAGCTAACTTGGTAGAACTAACTTAAACAATTGAACATAACAAACAGGTCGAAATACTAACAACCCTAGCATTTCGACACCACATATTGGAACACACTTTGACTACAATATGTAGGTCTTCAACACCAGCATGTGAACATACTTCAATGACATGCTAAACTCCTGTCGAACCAGAAGCTACTCTTCGACCATCTAGAGTTCGACCCAATTCTCACAAATCTCCACCTTGAAACAAACTCTAATATCAGAGAATAAACTAGCTTTCTTCATGCAGCTTTATCAACTGCATACAGTGGAAAAACATGCAACTGAGTAATATCTTAGTGATCATATCATTAGCATTGTGATAAGTCGAAACCTTCAGTACTTAGACTTCTCCACGCTCGATTACCCCTCTGACGAAATGCAGCCTCACATCGATGTGTTTGGTTTGCTCATGATAAGATGAGTTCTTCGACAGGTGTAATGCCCTTTGACTATCACATTTAACAATGATAACTTGACCTTGAAGTTTCAGCTCCTTAGCAAAACCTTCAAGCCACAATGATTCTTTCACAACTTCAGTGAGGGTAATATATTCTGCTTCAGTGATTGATAAGGCAACAACCTTTTGAAGTGTCACTTTCCAACTGATTGATGTATCAAACGTAGTAAAAACATATCCAGAAATAGATTTTCTGGAAACTATACAGCCTGCATAATCAGAGTCGACATACCTTTCGATTAGTGCTTTACTATCTTCACCCAAGGCTCCACCATAAATTAAGACTTTGTTCAGAGACCCATTTATGTATATTGAAATCCACTTCAATGCTTTCCAGTGAGTCTTTTTAGGATTTTCCATGTACCGACTTATAAGACTTACTGCATATGCTATATCGGGTCTAGTACAGACCATAACATACATAAAAGAACCCACTATGTTAGCATATGGGATGCTATTCATATAAGCTCTTTTGACCTCAATACTAGGACACTGATCTATACTCAGCTTGAATTGAGGATTTGTTAGAGTTACAACAGGCTTTGAATTCGACATACCGAACTTGCCGAGAATCTTCCATAGGTATGCCTCTTGAAATAAGCATAATTTCAACTGATTTCTATCTCTTCAAATGTAAATCCCAAGAATCCTGGATGTAACTCCCAAATCCTTCATTTCGAACTCCTTATTGAGTTCATCCTTCACCTTTATTACATCTTCGACATTGTTGCTTGCTATGAGAATATCATCAACATAAAGCAACAAAATAACAAATGAATTACCAGGACGAAATCTGAAGTAAAAATAGTAGTCGAACTGACTTCTAATGAAACTTAAGTATGCCATGAACTTGTTAAATCTCTTATTCCACTGTCGAGGAGATTGTTTCATCTCATATAAAGATTTATTCAACTTGCACATATAACCTTCCTTTCCCTTTTTGACATACCCTTCAGGTTGCCTCATCAGGATTGTTTCGTCTAGATAACCATACAAGAACACAATCTTCACATCCATTTGTTCCAGTTCAAGGTCAAACTGTGCCACCATGGCAAGAAACATTCAAATAGACCCATACTTCATAATAGTAGAAAACACATCAATGAATTCTACACCTTCTTTCTGAGTGAACCCCCTTGCAACCAACCTTGTCTTGTATCTTTTCTACGCCACTCCTTCGATTCCTTCCTTAAATTTGAAAACCCATTTACAACTAACTAACCTGGATCCGACAGGTTTCTTGATCAGTTCCCAAGTGTTGTTATCATGAAGATATTTCATCTCATCATCCATGTCCTTCATCCATTCAGTCTTATTTTGACTCCTCATAACTTCCTTATTGTCTCTAGGTTCTTCGTCTAGAACCTCACTTGCATAGGTTAAGGCATAAACTATACGATCTGCATACCCAAGTCTCTGAGGTGGCTTGATGACTCTGCGCATCCTATCTCTTGCCAATAAGTGGTCATAGACAGTTTCCTCAACTTCCTCAGTATCTTCTGCTTCTTCTCCGACTTCATCTGGGGTACGCAATTCAGCATCAACATGCTCCACCTCAACAGGAATCTCTACATGTTCCAGCTCTTTGTCAGATATTTCTACACTTCGACCAACGTCATTAGTTTTCTTGAAAGCTATTTCATCTTCATTGAAAACTACACCTCGACTGGTGATACACCTCCTATGACCTGGCTCTAGGCACCATAGCCTATAAGCTTTGACTCCTTCAAGGTACCCCATGAACATGCATTTTAGAGCTC